TCAGTACTCATCAGGAGCATCACAGAGGTATCAGTACTCATCAGGAGCATCACAGAGGTGTCAGTACTCATCAGGAGCATCACAGAGGTGTCAGTACTCATCAGGAGCATCACAGAGGTATCAATACTCATCAGGAGCATCACAGAGGTGTCAGTACTCATCAGGAGCATCACAGAGGTGTCAGTACTCATCAGGAGCATCACAGAGGTCGCTGATGTTCTCACCTAGTCAAATGGCTCTAATCTTCAGGGTGTAATCTCTCTTTTAGGACTTTTTTTTTTTTTTTTTGACAGGCAGAGTGGACAGTGAGAGAGAGAGACAGAGAGAAAGGTCTTCCTTTCCTTTGGTTCACCCCCCAAAATGGCCGCCATGGCTGGCACGCTGCACCGATCTGAAGCCAGGAGCCAGGCGTCCCCTCCTGGCGTCCCATGCGGGCACAGGTGCCCAAGCACTTGGGCCATCCTCCACTGCCTTCCTGGGCCACAGCATAGAGCTGAACTGGAAGAGGAGCAGCCAGGACTAGGAACCTGGCGCCCATATGGGATGCTGGCGCTGCAGGCGGAGGACCAGCCAAGTGAGCCATGACGCCGGCCTCTTTCAGGACTTTCTAAGACTTTTAGACAAATCTTGGATCGAACAAATATATCCACTGTATTAAATAAATATCTTAAAGTCTCATGTGGGCTGGACATTGTGGCATAGCAGCTTAAGCTGCTGCTTGGGACACCTGCCTCCTGTATCAGAGTGCCTGGGATCGAATCCTGCCTCCATTTCTGATCCAGCTTCCTGCTAATGTGCTTTAGAGGCAGCAAATGATGTATTTGTGTCCCTGCCTCCCACATGGGAAACCTGGAGGGAGCTCTTGGCTCCTGGCTTGGCCCTGACCCAGCCCTGGCTGTTGTGGGCATCTGGAGAGTAAATCAGCAATGGAAGATATTTCTCTGTTTTCTCCTCTTTTTCTGTCACTCTGCCTTTCAAACAAACCATAAAAAATAAAATTTTATGTGTAACAGTTAGGAAAGTAAACAAGCAACTTAGAGGCATTCTTATTGCTCTTTAAAAAAGTCTTAATATCTATTTAAATGAAAGTGGGAGATAAGGAAGGAGGGAGAGAGAGAAAGAATGAGTGAATGAATGAGCAAGGAAGAAAATCTTCCACTGCTGGTTCACTTCCCAGATAATTGCAACACCATGGTTAGGCCAGGCCAAAACCTGGAGCCTGGAATTTAACCTGGGTTTCCCATGTGGATGGAGGGTCGGTCCCAAGTACTTGGACCATCACTTGCTGCCTTCCAGGTTATGCAATAGCAGGAAGCTGGAATCGGAAGTAGAGCCTGGACCATGCACTCTAATGTGGGGCGTGGGCCTCTTAGCCACTCCGTCAAATGCCCACCCCTTAATTTTATTTAAAACAAATTTTTCTTGGCCAGCGCCGCGGCTCACTAGGCTAATCCTCTGCCTAGCGGTGCCGGCACACCGGGTTCTAGTCCCGGTCGGGGCACCGGATTCTGTCCCGGTTGCCCCTCTTCCAGGCCAGCTCTCTGCTGTGGCCAGGGAGTGCAGTGGAGGATGGCCCAGGTGCTTGGGCCCTGCACCCCATGGGAGACCAGGAGAAGCACCTGGCTCCTGGCTCCTGCCATCGGATCAGTGCGGTGCGCCGGCCGCAGCGCGCCGGCTGCGGCGGCCATTGGAGGGTGAACCAATGGCAAAAGGAAGACCTTTCTCTCTGTCTCTCTCTCTCACTGTCCACTCTGCCTGTCAAAAAATAAAAAAATTAAAAAAAAAAATAAATAAAAAAACCAAATTTTTCTTAATTTTGAATCTATTATTTATTGTATTCTTTGAAGATTACAAAAGAATAGATGTGAAACTTAAAAAGATAATATACTATATTAGTTTTCCTTTACTGAAAATACTTGAGGCAACTAGCTTTATAAGAGGAAGATTTATTCAGATCATGATTTTGAAGGTTCAGTTGGTTTGGCCTCTGGTGAGCATGGCAGACAGCAATGGTAGGAATATGTGTTGGAGGGATGGTTCCATCTGCAGCCAGAAAGCAGTGAGTGAATGTGCCCAAACTCAGCCATTTTTTTTGTTTGTTTTTATTTATTTGAAAGGCTGACTTAGAGAGAGGAAGAGAGAGAGAGAGAGAGACAGACAGACACTGACCTTCTGTCGGCTGGTTCACTCCCCAAATGGCCACAACAGCTGGGGCTGGCCCAAGCTGAAGCCAGGAGCCAGTAGCTTTTCCCAGTCTCATACATGGGTGCAGGGGCCCAAGTACTTGGCCATCTTCTGCTGCTTTCCCAAGCACATGAGCAGGGAGCTGGACTGGAAGTGGAGCAGCTGGTACTTGAAGTGGTGCCCAATATGGGATGCCATCTTAACCCGCTATGCCACAGCTCTGGCCTCCAAACTGACTTTTGTAACAGCCTTCTCACAAGGACTCAGGAGGACTGCCTTCTGAGAGCACGCCCTCAGTGACTCAAAGACTGCCCGTGAGGCCCTACCTCCACCGCCCAAAGAACCCACCCCTACCAGTAGCATCATCCTGGAGACCGAGTCTTCAAGATGTGGCCTTTGGATTAAAAACAAAGCAGCCCGGGGCTGGGGGGTGGGGGGTGGCGTGGCACTGTGGTGTAGCTAGTTGAGCCACATCCCATAGGGGTTGAGCACTTCCGATCCAGCCTACTGCCAAGTGTGCCTGGGAAAGCAGTGGAGGATGGCCCAAGTGGTTGGACCATTGTACCCACATGGGAGGCATGGAAGAAGCTCCTGGCTCCTGGCTTCGGTGTGGCCCAGTCCTGGTTGGCAGTGCAGCCATAAGGGGAGTGAAGCTGCAGATGGAAGATCTCTCTCCTCTCTGTCTCTCCCTCTCTCG